TTCACTTGCACAGCCTTGGCAAGATTGATGGCTACGATGGATCGATGACACACGAAACTTCCCCCCATCAAACGATCGGGAAACGTTCGTGCATCATAGAATCTTGCTCTTCTCGCCAAGGCTGTGCGAAGTTTAACTTGAACTTCCCACGTCTCCCTCCTCTCTTCTGTGCGCTCGTTGACGTCTTGGCCAGTCCAAACGCTTCAAGTGCAACAACCCACCAAGCTTTGTTGCATGCTCTTTGACGTCTTGGCCAGCCCAAACATCTGAGTGCATCGTATCTATGACATTCGTCTTGCAGATCAAGATGACATATCTGCACGCTCGCTGTCATCTTGGCCAGTCCAAACACTTCGCGCACAACGGTCTTGCCACACCTCTTGCAGGCTTACCTTTCGTCATGGTGATGCCAGGTATGTTGACAGCGCCCACTCACTTCTCAACCATCCTCCTAACCGCCTTTCTCTTTGAAGCCCGCCAGTTCATCTGATTTCTTATACACTAAACAAGTTCGTTTGAACTCGTTTAGTGTCTCCTCAACTTTCTTAGATGCGCAGAAGCGCAGATAGTCGTGAAACCAACCTTCTTGCCTGCCCCCTCCTCCTGCTAACCGTTTCCGCGTTTTCGAAGGTTCGTCCACCTTCCTTCCTTTCTTTAAACAAGTCTTAACTACTTCGTTTGTTGCATATATAGCTCTTCTAGCCCACATGTTCTGCACAACGTCTATGCCGCCCCGTCGCATTTTAACCATACTCCCACCCCACTTTCTGTTTCATTCCTATGCGTCAATCTACCTTCCTGGCTACCAAACGAGTTCGTTTGAACTCATTTGGTGTCTCCATGACTTTCTTGGTTGCGGGATTCACAATTTTTCAACAATATTGCACACACCCTCTTCCTGCTAACCGTTCTTGCGATTGTAAAGGTTAGCCCACCTTCCTTGGCCATTAAACATATCCTAACTAACTTGTTTGTCATTTCTGTAACTTTTGTAGCCTATTGGATACTCGGTTCTTCTGCTCCGCCCAGTCGCTCTCAAACCAATGCCACCACCCACCTTTTTTTCATCAAATCGATGCCATTATCTACCCTCCAACAAACCAAATGAGTTCGTTTGAGCTCGTTTAGCGTCCCTTGTGCTTTCCCGGCGTCGTGGACACATGGATAGTCGTTGTTGTGCAAAGTCTTGCCCATGTTCACCTCCTATTGGCCCTTCCTGCAATTAGCTCACCTTCCTGTCTTTGAACTCGATGTTTCTAAAGCTTTTGTAGCCTACTGGATACTCGGAACTTCTATGCCGCCCATTTGCGCTTAAACCATAACAGCACCTGCCTTTTTGCGTCAAACATCTGCATTTATGTACCTTCCAACAAACTAAACAAATTCGTTTGAATCTGTTTAGTGTCCGTCAATCTTTTCCGGCATCACGGACATGGATAGTCTTCGTTGCGCTTAAACCATAACACCACCTGCCTTTTTGCATCAAACATCTGCATTTATGTACCTTCCAACAAACTAAACGAATTCGTTTGAATCTGTTTAGTGTCTGTCAATCTTTTCCGGCATCGCGGACATGGATAGTCTTCGTTGTGCAAAGTTGTACTCATGTTTACCTCCTACTGGCCCTTCCCTCCATTTTACAGGTTAGCCTGACTTAACTGTCATTTAACGAGTACTAACTAACTTTCTTATTGTTTCTATATAGCTCTTGTAACATAAGGAATGCTCGGAACCTCTACGCCACCCAGTCGCGCGCAGACTATCCCACCACCTGCCTTTTTCGTCAAGTATGCCTGTATCTACCTTCCAACAAACTAAACAAGTTCTATTGAACTCGTTTAGTGTCCCTCAAGCTCACCCAGCTTCGTGGACGAGATAGACATCGTTGTTCAAAATATATTACCCACATCCACCTCCTACTGGCCGTTCCTACCATTTTACAAGATAGATGGTTACGACGGTGTACTAGCAACTGTGTCTGATGAAAAATATACAGGATTTTTGAGCATTGCTCTAATAACATGGCTGAAATCAACTTATATGACTAAAGTAGCGAGAGGCATAGTATAGTGTTTGCCATTATTGTCTTTAGAGGGTCATGCAACGAAAGTTCTTATCTTTCCACTTGACTACTATCCAGCCTAAACATGCTTGCAGCATTGTATACTCGCTCAGTCAAACATACGAACATTTTCACATTTCACACAACTTCTATCATCTTGGCCAGT